GTGAATATACCCACAATATGATATCAACATGAATTAGACTCAATTATCACAGCAAATAGGAATAGTAATATCAAATCGAAATTTACCTAGAATAGCCTGAAAGTTCTATATTTATATTCAAAATCCAGTAACTAAAATTGGCTCCCATATCCCTCTCTAGTTTAGCAAATGGGACAATTATTTTTTTTTTTCTGCTTTATCTTCCCAAACCCCCGCTGTACACACTTGTATATCTTAGTTGCCGGTCCTTCTAGTTGTGGGATGTGGTATGCCACCTCAACGTGGCCTGACGAGCGGTGCCATGTCTGCGCCCAGGATCCGAACCCTGGGCCGCCGCAGCGGAGCATGCGAACTTAACCACTGGGCCACGAAGCCGGCCCAGGGACGATTAATTTAACTTTAGTCTCTGAAGAAGTTCAAAGTTGCTTTTTTAACCAAAGCTCTTAAGTTCCACTTCTGCCATGCTGGCGTTAGCCTCTACAGCTTATCCACAATACTGCCTACCATGGTAATAGGTGCAGAAAAACAAACAACTATTGATGACTCTGAAAGAAAAGAAAAGTAGGAAAATTTTGGAAGACGGTCAACACTTGGAGAAGAGACTCACAAGGAGATGAGGGTCCCCTTTTATTTCTCCTTTGTGTCCTGTTTTTCTTCTGGATTTGCCCCGAGGATGAACTCCGGTGATGGAGCAGCGCAGCTTATCCATTGCTAAAACCCTGGTAGAAATATGCCATCTTTCTGGCCATAGAAAGCAGGGCAAGAAGTCACTGTGAGCAGGTAAGTGAGAGGGAATTTTGGAGAGGAGAGACTCAAAGAAGTGAATCCTGTAGTTCTGGTGTGAATGCACACAGTTCTCAACTTGACTTCAAATTGCACATGTGCAGGACAGACCCAAACCAGCACCACAAATGCTAAAAAACTGAACTGATATTTGAAACACATGCATCAGTCTAGGTATAAAATCAATTCCTTTAATCCTTATAAACCACCTCTCTTTCTCTCTAGTGACACTCTTTCTTTTAAGTCTTGATTAATATCATGCCTACTATTTGCAGGTTTTATCGTTTTCTGTTCATTTACTTTCATATCTACATTTATATTAAAATTGCATCTCCTTTAGGTACCATGTGGCTGGGTCTCCTTTTTTGAACCTATTATGTCAATATGTGTCTTTTAAAAAGAGTGCTTATAATATTAACCTTTAATAACGTACAGAAAATGTTAAGCCCATCTTCCAATTTTATTATATGTTGTTTGTTCTAAGTTTTATTCCATTGTTTTCATTTTTTTTTTCTTTTTCTGTCATAATTTTAATAGACTATTTTAAATCATCTACTGGCTTTTTGGCCAAAATTCTTTCTACTAGTTTTCAGTGATTGCTCCTGAGATTACAATATACATATCTAACTTTTCACAGCCTACTTAGAGTTAATATTTTACCCCTTCAAATAAAATACAGAAAGTACAGAGGATTATAAAATGATATGCCTTTTGACTACCCTATTTCCATTATTTTATGTTTAGTTTCCTAGGGTTGCCATAACAACGTACAACACACTGGTAGGCTTAAAACAGCAGAAACAGTCATGTGTATTTTTTAAAGACTAAGCAAGAAAACATTGGCTTTTATATTTACTGAGATATTTACCATTTCTGATCTCTTCCGTTGTTCTCAAATATCAACCTTTCTCTGCAGTAGACTTTCCTCTTTGGCCTTAATAATGTCCTTTTACATTTCTTATAGAAAACATTTTCTGGTATCAAATTTTCTTATTTTTCTTCATTTAATAATATTTTACTTTTCCTTTACTCTTGAAAAATATTTTTTCCTGACTATAAAATTTGCAGTAGAAATTTATTTTACCATTTTTCATCACTTTAAAGATGTTTTCCCACAGTCTCCCAGACTCATGGTTTCTGATTTGAAATCTACAATCATTTTAATTTTTATTTCCTTCTGTTTAAAACAGGATATCATTTTTCTTTACTTTCTTTCAATATTTTTTCTTTATCTTTGTTTTCCAGCCAGTCGATTTTGTGTAAATAAGTTTAGTTTCCTTTTAACTTATCCTATCCATGATTTGTTGAATTTTTAATCTGAAATTTACGTCATTTTAAAAAATCTAAGTTTTCCTCCATTGTTTCTTCAAATATTTTGTCAACTTAAATCTCTTCCACATTTCTTCTTCTTCTCCAGTTAAGTATTAGTTGACCTTCTGTTAATTTCCCACAAGTCCCCCAAATATTCTTTGTGTGTGTTTGTTTTACTGCATTTTCCCTCTCTTCTTCTGACTGGATAATTACTACTGTTCTATCTTCAAGTTCACTGACTCTTTTTTCTGTATTCTCCATTGTGCTAAGTGGAAAAATTCACTAAGTGAATTTTTTGTTTTAGATGTGGTAATTCATAGTTAGCCTGCAAATTCAATAATTTGGATGAATTGGAGAAATCGCTTTAAAAACAAAACTTACCAAACTGATATAAGAAGAAACAGAAAATCTAAATAATTTCATATCTAATAAAAATTTTAAAAACTTTTAACAAAAACTCTCCAATCAGGAAGTCTGTAGGTCTGTGTTTGATATTTTTTGACTCTAGAAGGGTTCCTGCCAACCATCCTATTCCCTAACCTTCCTTACTGAATTTTCACAGAATTCCTTGAGTAGGTGTTTCCTCATTGCTCTTTGCCCTGAGGGTTCAGAATCATATGATTCTCAGGAGTAGGTCAGGGGAGGTCCTTGCACTGCCAGAAGTTGATTCTCAGGAATACATGGCTTTTTAAGGTGCAAAAATCAATAAATGCATTTATCATATTCACAAAATCATGGAAAAAATATGATTCAACACTCATTCATGATTTTTTAAAAAAATGCTAAGCAAACTAAAATAATAAAAAATACTCAAGCTGATAAAAACCATTTATGAAAATTCAACAACTAACATGATGTTTAATGATAAAATACTGAATTATTTTCCACTAATATCTGCAAAAGCCAAATATGCCAGATTTCACCATTTCTATACAACTGTTTTACTGTTGGTTCTAGCCATTATAATAAAGTAAGAAATTAAAATAAAATCCATAAAATTCATAATAAAATAAAATTTTATTTTGATATAATATTTTTACATAGAAAGCTCCAGAAGTCTACAAATCAGTTTTCAAAGTAAGAAATAAATTTAGCAAAGATATAAAGTTGACATGCAAAAATCACTTGTGTTCTTATATACTGGCAACAGATAACTGGAAAAAATAAATTTAAAAAATCCCATTTACAGCACTGCTTAAAAATACATAAGATACTGTGGAATAAATATAACACCATACCCACGATCTCTATGCTGAAATTTGCAAAACAATATTAGGAGAAACAAAAGAAGACACGAAAAAAGATATATTATGTTTATATATCAGAAGAATCAATATTTTTAAGATGCCAATTATTCATACATTAATTTATAGATTAAACAAAATCTAAATCAAGGACATGCAACTAAGATATACAACTGTGTACAGGGCGGGTGGGGGGGAAGTTTGGGAAATAAAGCAGAAAAGAAAAGAAAAAAAGATTGGCAACAGTTGCTAGCCCAGGTGCCAATCCTTAAAAAAAAAAAAGAAAAGAAAAAGGAAGATTGGCAACAGTTGTTAGCCTAGGTGCCAATCTTTAAGGAAAAAAAAAAATCTAAATCAAATTCCAGTAAGATTTTTGCTAAAGATTAAAAGTCTTTCCTAAATTTCAAAGGACCTAAATCAAAGAGTTCTAGACTAACCAAATGTATAGACCAGTTGATTTTTTTTTTTATGAGGAAGATTGACCCTGAGCTAACATCTGCTGTCAAACGCCCTCTTTTTGCTTGAGGAGGATTGTCACTGAGCTAACATTTGAGCCAATCTTCCTCTATCTTATGTGGGATGCCACCACAGCGTGGCTTCACAGCGGTGTTAGGTCCATGCCCACCTGGGATCCGAACATGCAAACTCAGGTTGCCAAAACGCAGCCTGTGAACTTAACCACTATGCCACCAGGCTGGCTCCTGGACCAGCTGATTTTTAACAAGCGTCAGCGTCATTTAGGAAATGAATGTCATTTCAAAACTTGGGTAGATTCAACTGTATATTCACAAGAAAGACAATAGTAGTCAAGCATTAACTCACACACGCATAACACACATGCACACCAAACAAAACTTGGAATAAATTATACACCAAATAAAATATTTTATATATTTTGTATTACTTCAAATTACGTATTTTAGTAAAACCAAAACATATAAAATTATAAAAGACAGAAATGAAAATATTTGCATATGGAGAGATTTCCTAGTTAGAACCCAAGATGCACAAACTATAAAATTTTAAAAAAGGTAATTGGACTCATCAAAATTAAAATTCACAAAATTAAAAGGCAGACCACACACATGAAGCAACTTTCTAGAAATATGAGCAACTCTTACAACTCAGTAATAATGATAAAAACAACTCAATATAAACAGTCAAAAAAAATCAGAGCAGGCGTGTCACATAAGAAGATAAATGAATTGTCAATAGCACATTAAGATGCTCCACAAATTTAAGGTAAATGAAAACTAAAATCACAATGCAATACGACTTCATGTCTATTAAAATAGTTAAAGTCTGAAATGTAGATAATATCAAGTGTTGACCACTATGTCAGGCAACTGGAAGCCTCCTGTACTGCTGTTGGAAATGGAAAATAACACATCTGCTTTGAAAGGCAGTTTGGCAGGGTCTAAAACTTTTAAATATATATCTACCATAAAACCCCAACAATTCGCTTCCTCGGTGTGTACACAAGGGAAATGAAAACACAGCCACATAAAGATCTTTATGCAAGTGTTTATAAAAATGTATTTGTAATCATATATAGAAATAACCAAATGATTATAAATAGGTAAATAATGCATGATCAGTTTGTGCTGTATCCATACAACAGAATGTTACAGAACAATAGAAAGGAATGAACTATTGTTCCATGCAAGAGTACAGATAGGTCTCAAAACCATCACGCTGAGTGAAACAAGTCAGATGATACCAAGTACGTACTGTATAAATTCATTTAGATAAAATTCTAGAAAATAAAATCTAATCTAGAGTAAAAGAAAACAGATCAATGGTTTCCTGGGAAGAGCAGTGGAGGGAAAGAGATTACATATGAGCATGAGGAAATTTTGGGGAGTGAGGAAAATGTGCTTTATTTTGACCATACTGATGTTTTCATGGGTATATTCCTATGTCGAAACTCAACAAATAGTACACATTAAATAAGTGAAACTTATTATACATTAGTTATCCTTCTATAAAGTGATGAAAATAACCTGTTTGCAACAATATTTTCATTGGCTCTAAGATTTAATTTTAATCTTAAAAATATTCTCCAGAATCTAATAACAGTCGAATTAGAAATATGGCTTCAAAAGTGAATAGGATATAGTGCTCTTTTTTCTTTATCTATTAAAATTAAGTGTAAAATAGAATGGAACAAAAAGGCTAACAGATACAAGTATCCAAAAGGACACACCATGTCCTGGATTAGATTTGAGTGGCGTTCCAGGAGTAAAAATAGCCTGTGAGCTTCTTGAGACTGGAGGATTTCCGCAGAGAGGAGTGTAAGAGATGGAACATTTTCTTTCCTTACTTTTTCCATTTCTTCTTCCCTCAATTCCCTTCTTTCCTCTTGTCTCTTCCTTTCTGTTCTATTCCTTTTATTTTTCTTATCTTCTTTCTGATCTACATTTTTTTCTTTTCAAATATCATTTTCATCTTGTACCTCATTTCTGTCTTTATTTGCATCCATACAAGATCCTATCTGTAATATTTTCATTATTTTCCATTTATTTCCTGTTTCCCTTTATTGCCCCTCTTCGAAAACCTGTCCTTATTTTTTATTTTTCTTTTTTCTCACCATCTTAATTATATACTTTTGAAGCATAATGTGTGACTAAAACTATTAGTATACCATTATTTATTGCATTTCTATGATATTTATAAGTTTCAGAACAATTATAAAAATCTTAATTTATCATTATCATGTCACACATGGGGGCGATGATGCCTGCAGGAGTTCATTTTCATAATTTCCCTTAAGTTGTAATTAGTTGAGATATGGTTTAAACCCAGGTGTTTTCAATCCTCACTTACTACTCCTCATTGTTGGCAGATCCTGCCATGCTTCTCTACACTGACAATTGCCTTGTAATACTAAGCCTGACTGATTTAAAATCCTGGCGACAGTTCCCCATTTAACAGCTGGAGTGACATTTCTTTTGGTTGATGTTGAAGTGAGCAAGCACTCATTAATTTTTTCATAAATAATGGAGAGTACAACTTGCACTATCAGATGTCAGAATTACTCCAATAGACAAGATATGAATTTTCACTTGGTAGTATTAAACACTTAAGAAAACAAGGTACATGTAGAATTCCAATATTCCCAGATTAGCATCTTAAAATAGTTTTTTTCTTTTCTTGAAGACCTGTGAGCAGAAGCATAGCAATACCTCCCATAGAGAATTTATAAATAATACTGGAAATATGCCTTTCATTTACAACATAGGGTCGTTGGAGCATGCTATTTTCTTCTTTATTTAGAAAGTAAGAAGAGGAATATATATATTTTTAATGTTTTTCACATAATAATGCATTTATAATAAAGTCCAAATACTGACCCAAAAATGCTTAACAAAATATTAGAGAAGTTAAATCAAAGTATGGCCTCAAAGGCCTACAGTCATAGTTTTAAAAGTCTGTCCTCAATTAGGCACATGCATGTGGCGATGGAATGTAATTTGTCTTTGGGTAGCAAACATTCTGTAATCTACACAGAAATCAAAATATAATTATTTACACCTGAAATTTATATAATGCTATAAACCAATTTTACCACAATAAAAAAAGAAAAGAAAAGATAAGAAAATAGAAATCTGTCCTCAATACGTCTATTTTATTGATTTGTATACTTTCAATAATTTGATTCTCAAAAGCAGCACATGGCGATCTTTACATTATTAATTATATAAGTATCCTATAACTATTAATATTTACCTTAATAAATTATATAGATATGCATATTTGGTTGTCTAATTTTAACTTAATATTTATGTCACCAGACAACTTTTATTCTAAAATTTATGAAATTATAAATAATAAGTGATGCCTGTATTGGGTTTGGTTCTAGGCTCTGGCCAGAATAAGCGGCACATAAAAAATTTCTGTCGTAGATATGAGGCCCTAAAGAGGCGTGCTACATGCTATAATGGTTGTAGTCTGTAGCAATTATCACCTTAATATTTGAGATCTGGCACGTGATTATAAAGAACCAACAATCATTGTTTGCAACCTTATTAAATTAGTACAAGGACAATAATTTCAAGTTTCCTTCTAAACATTTCTATGCTGCTGCCTTGACCAGAGTCAATCATTGATTTTTCTATAAAATGTTCATTCATTCGCCTCATTTATAGTTCATTTACTGGAACAATGGCAGCATATTATCTTATTCAGCTTAATTTCTGCACAAATATTCTGTGTTAATTGAATTAGCTTTTCATAAAAAGTCTTGTTTCCAGCTCAATATTATTCTTTCTTTTCTGTCATTTGTCTCTTTCAAACCCCTCTTTATTTCTCTAGTCAACATGAACTCAGTAGTATCTATGTGTTTCTGTGAAGGAAGGAGAACAGTCAAATAGTTTAGTCAGGTCACCTTTTTTTGACATTCTCCATTAAAATGCAATAATCCTAATTCTAACAAAGCATTTGTTGAGTGCTTTATTTAATTATGGCACATGGGGCTTGACAGAAATTGAATGAACTCAAAACCACTGGCAGGCCTAGGAGGTGCATCCTGGAGGAACAGAGCATAAGATTGAATCCGAACTGTCACTCACTGGGTAGAGTTTTGGCAGAAGATACAATTTCCTGCTGCAATTTTTTTCAAAGCCTGAAACATGCAGTTTAGAATGTTGGAGTACATTAATATAGAGTCCTCTCCATTCACCAAGAGCTTAATCCAACTCTGGAGAGGCAAAAGGGTATGAAATCCCAGACAAGATATTAGATAGCCATCTATTGTTAGGGCAATAAGATGAGAGTATGGCAAATGAGCAAATGCAGCCCCTCGTCAGATGAGCCAGCATAACACTGAAAGGACGTACGTGAGTGACATTGTTTCTGTCAAGAGGCAGGAGCTCATAAGTACTGAAATGGGTAGTTATCTCGAATCTCTAATGAAAGTTAGATAGAATGTAGATGTTTGAAGAACAACCAGATAAATTTTTCTAAATAAAAATAAAAAGTTTCTACCTTTATACTGTGAACCTCTATAGAAAAATTTCACCTAAATGAGTATAGTCTATAGGTCAACCAATGCAATAGCAATATTTAAGACAAAACAGAACGTTAGCTGTTGAAGTGAAGACTTGGAGAACAAGATGGAAACTGGATGTTGAGTTTTTAGACTTAATTCTGGCATGATTTGTCTTTCCACAGACTTTTTGAGTGCTTGTTTCTTTGTTTTTTTTTTGAAAAAAGATTATAAATTTTTAAAATTATCTTTACAAAATATCAGTATTAATTTAAAACGTCAAACATTATTTTATGGATTTGGGAACTTTCTTCTGTTTATTCGTTTATATGTTAGGATATACCAAGTGGAAGGTTATCTTGCCTCAGTCATGGTCCAAAAACTAGACTCATTCTGTGTTCAGCAAATCAGAAGCCCAAGGAGGCTAAAAGGGGCCCATTCCTTTAGGACAAGTAATTGTGATTAGTATGACCCATTGTCTTGGAGTAAGGCAAAGTTAAGAAGACTGAAAAAGTAATGCTATTCTCAACTTCAAATGTAAGCAAACTTGAGCATGGACATGCTCTCCCATCCCCAAAATTTATACTCACCTGGTGGGTCCACACACCACTCTGAGACTGACACAATGGAGTAAGCCTTAGGAAAACCATGTCAGCTGTGTAGTGTTGCCACTAATTGCTTCCAGCTTTAGCTCCACCTGTTGCTCTTGTGTTGTCATACTTGTTCTCAAATTCCATATTGAAATTTGATTTTGATGCTTACTTCTTCTCTCTTCAGCACTAGCAATTGGTCACGTTCCCTTTTGTATATTAATAGATTATTAGCTGCTCTTAAAAATCTACTCACTCTTCTAGTCTAATCTCCTCTTGTTCTTGGGAAATAATCTGATAATAGGCATGTGCACCTTATGTGGGACAAAGATGTTTAATTATGGGTCACTTCACCCTTGAATATATCTATTTTAATTCTTCTGGGTAATTATGGAATAAAAAGTTGTTCTCTCTTAAAGTAAATTGAGTCATATAAATTATTTGAGTATGTGACTTTATAAGACTCGAAGTCCTCATTGATGTGTAGACAGTGGTTGAATTTTGATACTAGAGAATGTCATATGAGTGCTATTTGTTACCAATCTTACTTCAAAGAATTTTGAGTCCTAACAATTTCAAAAATCACTCATTTTGGCTCAGAAACCAGTTCAAATTAGTTAACAGTGCACATTATCTTTAAAAATTATGCCAGATGTGCCCAGACTTGTTTACTAAATTATGTTGATTTAGATATAAATGTTTGCTTCCATTCACATCAGATTATTGAAGATTTATAAACATATTTTACTCAGGTTGATTGAAACAATTCAGTAAGTGAACAGGTGTTCACATACTACTACCATTTACCAGTAAAAGCATACATATTATTTTTTTTCTGAAGTTTGGAGACAGATGATATAATAACACTTCTGACCTTATTTACAGAAATCAGGAGCTCCTAATGTTTGTATTGCAGAGTTTGTGATGTATCATCCTTTCAGATGTGATACAATGAAAATCATCATGTCCAAAATAAATGTGGGCTTGTCATTACCTATCTTCCAATGCATTTTAAAATGGAGAAATGCTCACTATTCCTGAAAAAGCTAACTTTTTGTTGTTTATTACATCCTTTAATAATTTATCCCCAAAGAAACTAAACTGTCAAAAATCATTGAGCCAGAACTGGCAGCTTGTCAGTTCTCA